TTGAACCGCCAGCCTTCTGGTCAGCAGTCAAGTGCCTTAGCTACTATGCTACCAGAGCTCCCTGAAATGGATGAAGATCTACCAGTTATTTTTGGTACAGTGACTGTGTATTCCTTCCATCTTCTTTTGGTGTTTCCTGTATCATTCAATATTTTGCCCATAGAATCTTTCAATATTGCAACTCAAGGCTTGGGTTTTTTCTTCAGTTCTTTCAGCTTGAGAAATGCCAAGTATGTTCTTTCCTTTTGGTTTTCTATCTCCAGATCTTTGCACATTTCATTGTAATAATTGACTTTGTCTTCTCAAACTGCTCTTTGAAATCTGCTGTTCAGCTCTTTCATCTTTTCATTTCTTCCATTTACTTTAGCTACTCTCTGCTCAAGGGGAAGTTTCATAGTCTCTTATGACATCCATTTTGGTCTTTTCTTCCTTTCTGTGTTTTTAATTACCTCTTGCTTTCTTCATGGATGATGTTCTTGACGTCATTCCACAATTCCTCTGGTTTTTGGTTGTTGGTGTTCAATGCATGAAATCTATTCTTTAAATGGTCTCTAAATTCAGGAGGGATATAATCAAGGTTATATTTTGGCTCTCATGGACTTGTTTTAATTGTCTTCAGTTTCAGCTTTTACTTTCATATGAGCACTCGATGGTCTGTTCCACAATCAGCTCCTGGCCTTGTTTTGGCTGGCGATAGTGAGCTTCTCCATCACCTCTTTCCACAGATGTAGTATATCTGATTCCTGTGATCTCCATCTGGTGAAGTCCATGTGTATAGCTGCCATTTGTAGTATTGAAAAAAGGTATTTGCAATGAGCACATTGTTGGTCTTGCAAAATTCTGTCATGCAATCTCTAGAATTATTTCTCTCACCAAGGCCATATTTTCCAACTACCGGTGATTTCTTGTTTCCAGCTTTTGCATTCCAGTCACCAGTGATAACCAACACTTCTTGATTGCATGTTTGGTCAATTTCAGACTCCAGAAGGTGTAAAATTCTTCAGTTTCCTCATCTTTGGCTTTGGTGGTTGGTGTGTAAATTTGAATAACTGGACTTCCTTCTTGTTGTTGTTAAGTTCCGTTGAGTCGTTTCCAACTCATAGTGACCCCATGCACAGCAGAATGAAACACTGCCCGATCCCGCGCCAGCCCCACAATCCCTGCTATAATTGAGCCCATCATTGCAGCCACCATGTCAATCCATCTCGTTGAAGGCCTCCCCCTCTTTCGTCGACCCT